GGTTCCTGATGCGTTTCATTTTCAAAACTTGGGAGTGACCATTTCCCACCCAGATGCCTTCTCCACCTTAAGGACATAAGCGGGTCTTCGTCTGCTCACCCCAAACATCTTAGTCCTAGACGCTCAACTAAGGAGGCCGCCAGTGACAAGACCGGCAGCGACAATCTTTTCCCAAAGGACCCTGAGCCTGGCCAGGGACAGGCCGCCCGCCACACTGATAGTGACTGGGCCGGGGGGCCTCAGGGCATCCCAGCGGCCGTGTCTCTGTGCTGTCTGTGACCTCGCAGAGGCAGCTGTCAGCCTGCCCTTCCGTTTTTGTCTTTCCAGCACCTCCTGCAGGATTGGGCTCCAGCCCTGCCCACACGCCGGTATCATCCCGCCCACACTCACCGAGGTCGCCTAGCAACCCAGCTCACCACCAGCATCGGCAGCCGAGGGCCCCGCGCTCCAGTTCTCTGGGTGGGGGGGTGCTTCTCCAGCCCCTGCAGTCTGGGGTGTCTTCCCTCCACCCGCTGGCCTGCTCCAGGACTGCTGCCGGGTAGGGCTGGGGAGGACGGGTCAGGAACGACTGCTTTTCAGGCCCCTGGGCTCCGTAGCCCAGACGGTCCATCCATCTGCACCCAATCCCTCTGCTGTCGCGCCGCCTAAACTTGGTGTTTTGGAGTTGCTAGGAGGGCCGACTTAACTCTTTGTCAGCGGGGCTGGCTGGCATCCACCTGGCGGTGGGAATCCTCTTCGCCTTCCCCGGGAGCCAGGGATGGGAATGGGAGCTGTGGGTGGGAGGCTTCCGAGAACCGCCTCTCCCAGGGTGTAAGGAAGGAAGCGGGCCTGCAGGTACCGCCTGGGGTTCACAGCAGGGGACGAGGTGCCTCCCACCAGGGGGCTGCTGTGATCGACAGGCCTGCCAGGGTGCGCCCCTTCCCCTGTCCCTTCCCTCTGTCCCCATTGCCTTGGCTGAAGTCTCTCTCCCGTAACGAGATGGAGACAAATGGTGTTCTTTTTATGTTTGAGACTTGTCACCCAGGCTGGAGTGCAGTGGCGCGACCTTGGCTCACTGCAACCTCCACCTCCCGGGTTCAAGAGATTCTCCCGCCTCAGCCTCCAGAGTAGCTGGGACCACAGGCACCCGTCACCATGCCCCGATAATTTTTGTATTTTTAGTAGAGATGGGGTTTCACCTTGTGGGCCAGGCTGGTCGCAAACCACTGACCTCAGGTGACCCTCCCGCCTCGACCTTCCACAGTGCTGTGATTACAGGCGTGAGCCACCGTGCCTGGCCAAGTATTCTCTTTTTGAGACAGAGTCTCCCTCAGTCACCAGGCTGGAGTGCAGTGGTGCAATGTCGGCTCACTGCAACCACCGCCTCCTGGGTTCAAGTGTTCTCCTGCCTTAGCCTCCCAAGTAGTTGAGATTACAGGCGCCGGCCACCTCGCCCAGCTAACTTTTGTATTTTTAGTAAAGACAGAGTTTCACCATGTGGGCCAGGCTGGTCTCAAACTCCTGACTTCTATTGGTCTGCTGGCCTCAGCCTTGCAAAGTGCTAGGTCTGCTGGGGTCCACCTGACCTGCCCAAGATCTGGGCATACAGTGGGGACTGCATTGGTGACGCCGGGCTTCCTGCCCGAGGAAAGTTCACGTTCTCAAGGGGAAGACAGATACCGAATCGTCTCAGAGTTGCAGAGTTCAAGTCAAGAAACAGACCGGGCGCAGTGGCTCACGCCTCTAATCCCAGCACTTTGGGAGGCTGAGGTGGGCAGATCACGAGGTCAGGAGATTGAAACCAGCCTGTCTAATGCCGTGAAACCCCGTCTCTACTAAAAATACAAAAAACTAGCCAGGCGTGGTGGTGGACGCCTGTAGTCCCAGCTACTTAGGAGGCTGAGGCAGGAGAGTCGCTTGAACCTGGGAGGCGGAGGTTGCAG